ACACTTTAGGATCAATTCTCATTCCTAAAGCAATCCAATCTCACTTATGTAACAAGATTTTCAATTAGTGTGCCCTAATCCGTTTTCATGTTTCAAATTCCATTCTAAGGGTTTTAATATCAAATCAGGGATTAAAGATGTTAATCCTTTCATCCCAAGTCCCCAAATGAAGTTAATTTGGGTTCTCCCTGAAAACAGGGGTCGAAACAACACTTTTCAGGCCAAATATGGTCAAACTCGTGTCCACTGATCAACCGGTGACAGAGCAGTACAACACTACCGGTCGACCGGTAATGTGCACACTGGTCGACCGGTCAGCCTGCAATCCGGTCGACCGCACAGGTCGACCGGTGGAATCGACTACGCGAGAGAAGCTTGCGGAAATCAGTCCAAAAACCTGCAAATCCAGTCCCAAATCCAAATATTTCAAAGGGAAACCACTAGATCCGGGTTCTAGGTCCTAAAACAAGTCCAAAGAACCCAAGATCTCCAATTTCTACTCTAGTTTTACTCAAAATCATCAAAAATCCGGTTTGAACCAAAATAAGTTTTGAAATCCGAAAAACATAGATTCAAGAGAGGTTCTTTCAGTAATCTTACCTTGAATCCTTCTCTTGACGTTGAAAACTCTTTGAAATCACTCTTGGTTCGAATCCGGTTTTGATTTGAGACACAAATGGGAGAGAGAGGGGGAGAAAGAGAGAGAGTGAATGCACGGGAAGGAAGAGAAAAGGAAAAGAAAAAGAAGAAAAGGAAAGAAAAGACATATGGCAAAATATTTAAAATGACAGTCCAGAAATGCGCCCATACACACTTCTGGTTTAAAAATAAAATTAGTCAGAATATTTAAATACCTTAGAATTATTTAAATTTACCCATGTCAGAAACATTTATTTATTAATAATCAATTAATAAATTCAGATTAGGCACACTAATAATCTCAATTACCTTAATTAATCTCAATTAATTCTTCAGGGTGTTACAGGGGCCCGGTTAGGAATCTACTTTATTAATCCCAAATCGAGCTCCACATCACCCACCCCGTTTGGGGGGCGTGACAAAGAGTGGTATCAGAGCCCTAGGTTAAGAAACCCCAGGATTGTACATACATGTGTGACATCTGTAATCCACTGAATAGTCTAGTTTTATTTCAGTTGAAGGAAATGGCACCTCGCCGTAGGCCTGCTAATCAACCAGCACAACAGAATCAGGGATTTCTGGATGCCATGTATGCTGCCTTTCAAGGCATGGCCACAAGAGCTCGAAATGAGTGGCCGGTTAAGGATAGGAAGCAAGGGTACTTTCAGGAATTTAGGCATGCGCCTATCCCCTCGTTTAATAGTGAGGGAGGACCACATGAAGCAGAGTTCTAGTTAGACTCCATAGTCAAGCATTTGAGTACTATGGGAGTTCCAGATAAATACTAGGTGGAATTTACGGTGTACAAGATGGAGGGCTTAGCGAATACTTGGTGGAAACAGGTCAAGAGAAGAATGAATATTACAGGGTTGACCTAGGAACAGTTTGAGACAATGTTCAATGAGCAGTACTTCCCTCAGAGTTATAGGGAGGAAAAAGCGCTGAAATTCATGTCTCTGCTGCAAGGTGACATGTCTGTAAGGGAATATGAGGCCAAGTTTAATGACCTATCTCGGTTTGCGCCATCACTAGTGAAGTCTGAACCCATGAGGTGTCTTAAGTTTGAGAACGGTCTCAAGAATTCTGTGATGAGGTCATTGGTGGCCTTAAGGATTCGAAACTTTCGGGATTTGGTAGCTACTGCTACGAGGGTGGAACAGGATAACTTGGCCTATCACCAAAGCAAAGAGGTAACTGGTCGAGTTTCTGTCTCTGGTAGACCTTCCGTTTCGGGTGGACCACAGCGGAGTGGTAGGAGAAACCGCAACCAGGGACAAACGGCTGGGGAAATGACAAGTGGTGGCAGTAGTTCGTCCGGAAGTGACAGAAATGCTCCATACGGGCCTAGGTGTCACCATTGTGGGCAGGTGGGTCATATTAGGAGGAATTGTCCTAATCGACCGCCGGCTCAACAAGCCCAAAGTGATACTTCGTGTTATATACGAGAGGATAATGTTTAAGGATAATAATCAAAAAGTAATGTTCATAATGACTTTAATTAAAGTTCAGAATCTTTAATTAAAACATTATTAATACATGTCATTCCCATTTAGAATGGAACAGTGTTATCCGCACTGTAGATATTGAATGAGTGTATTTCACATAATGAGATTATGTGGAACAAGGACACAGACACAATATGAATTTCTAATAATTCCATTAAGTATAGAAATTCTAATTGAGTCTACCGATGGTCATATATAGGATAATCTTAATCCTGAGTTCTTAACAGACTCCTATTTATGGATTTGTGTCTTTTGATTTACTCGGTACGGATTTTGAGATCCTAAATCCTATTCCTTGTATTTTGGAGACATGATGAAGTAGGTAGCCGGAAATGTTATTACACGAGATGGAATCCATTCCTTCTTAAGAAAGAAGTAGATAAATAATTCTCTTGAGGGTTGATTCGGTACTTGGACCAG